CATCAGTAGTCACCATTTGTGATATGCTGTTGGGCTATTACTCACAAATATGTTTACCAGGTTGCGAAGCTAAAGGGGGATGAGAGGGAAGATCTGAAAGTACTGGCCACTGGTGTAGCTGCTGCTCTGGCAGCTCGCAAGGTAGGTGTTACATCTTCACTGGTGCCTTTTTTCTCCCTATCAGGAGACAACCACCTGTGTATGTTATGAGATGTATGTGTGGAATGCCCAATTATTATGCAGAGTTCATGGCTATCTGAAGAAGAGTTTGGTATGGGTCACCTTGATCTGAAGCCAGTGCCTGCAAAACCTATTCCTGGTAAATGGAAGATGCATAAGACTTTATTTTTTGTCGGACCACTATGATTAGCTGGAGCGTAACTGTTCCTTGGATCTCGTACAGGAAATCAGTCTGCAGATTCCTCAACGGCAAAAGATCGCAGCATTCGTGCAAAATCTACAGAAGGTAGGCATGAAAGGTCAGAAAATGCAATGAAGCCTGATGCTCAACATAATAAGAAGAATGCCTCGACTGCAAATGGATCTGATAGTCAAATGCCATCGTCCTCTGCACAAGGAAAAGCTTCAGGACCTGCACGAGGTGCAGATGAACCTCCAAAAGTTTTGTCTGATGGGTTAGTTAAAGTTTTGAAGCCTGCTGCAGAATCTGAGGTATCTCTCAGTTTATCATGTGGAAAGTGACAACAGTTTTTTTGAATTAAGCTTTTTTCTTAAAAGGATGCATATGGCAATAGTATGTGCATCTATACATCTTTGTGCAAAAATTAGCATTTTGGTTAAAAAATAATGTCTATTTTAGTCCTACATCCTTGTCTTTTTTCTCTAAACGACAAATAAATGTACTTCACAAATATTTGCAAGTAGATAAAAGTATTTCCACGTGTAAATTTGTAGGTTTTTTTTAAATTGTAAACCGCCTCTCTTTTTTTCTTCTTTCTTTCAAAACAACGGATTCAGCTGTTTCTTGTTAGCGCATAATCCACGTCTTCAATTTATAGTCCTTCATTATTTCATGGAGCATAGCAGTGACCAATGAGCAATTTTGTGCTGGATAGTTTGCAACTTTGCATTGTATCTAATAGTTTTTATGACAACAGACAAGAGCACCACAAAAGCGTGATGCACACAATGCTGCAAAGGTATCTAAGCATGATTTGGTGAAGGAAGATGCAAAACCTGGGAAAATTACCAGCAGGGTTCTTAATCAAGAAGTCTCTGCTATTCCTGCTGACAGAGAAGTATTGTCTCTGCCAGCTGATGGTGGGCTGGATACTAATCCCACTAGTTCGTTGGTTGGCACCAACGGTAATGTACATCCAGCACCACGGAAGGTATCAGCATCCTCCCAAAGGTCAACGGTGTTGGCTGCACATAATGATGCAACAGCAAATCCCACCGGTGAAGGTGAATCTACTGAGTTGGTTGATTCTACCGTGAAACGGCACAAAAAATCTGTTCCCATTGAAGAAGAGAGAACAGGTAAACGAAGGAAAGGAGAAATTGAAGGCCGGGATGATGACTTAACAGAACATCATACGGACAAAGAGAAAAGAATGGACTTGCGATCAGTAGATAAATTCCATTCTGTGGATCACGAGAGAGGTAATAATGAGGAACAAAACCTAATTCGGACAGAGAAATTAAAAGAAAGGTTTGATGAGAAATATGACAGAGATCATAGAGAAAAAACAGATCGGACTGAGAGGCGACGTGGAGAAGACGTGGTTGAGAGACCAGCAGACAGATCATTGGAAAGGAGAGAACATTCTATTGAAAGGATGCAAGACAGAGGGACGGATAGGGTTCCTGAAAAAGGAAGAGAGGACAGGAATAAGGAGAGAAGCAAAGTTAAGCATGCTGAACCCTCCATAGACCGGGCACATACTTCTGATGAACGGTTCCGAGGGCAAAGCTTGCCACCACCTCCACCTCTTCCAACTAGTTTTGTACCCCAATCAGTCGCTGCTAACCGAAGAGATGAAGATAGTGACCGAAGGGGTGGAAGCACCAGACATACACAGCGGTTGTCTCCCAGGCATGATGAGAAAGAAAGGTGGCACGTGGAGGAGGAGAATGCTCCGCTGTCACAGGATGATGGGAAGCACAGAAGAGAGGAAGATCTCCGGGATAGAAAGCGTGAAGATAGGGATGTTTCATCAAGCAGGGTAAATATGCCTTCACTCCCTAATACTCTTCTGTGATTTGTGATCAATTTTTGCTCACTAGTTCAGTTATGTCGATATATGTCTTCAGTCCCTAATAGTCTTCTGTGATTTGTGATCAAGTTTTGCTCACTAGTTCAGTTATATCGATATATGTCTTCACTCTCTAATACTCTTCTGTGATTTTGATCAATTTTTGCTCACTAGTTAAGCTATATCGATAAAAGTCATTTGTGTCTTGTGCTCAGACTTGGTGTGCAATCACTCCTCTTGGGACCTTGCATTGTGTAACCGAACATTCTTGCTTGATCTCTAATGCTATGTTATTTTTATAGGTAGATGACATGGATAGGGACAAAGGTAATACTATGCAGGAAGATAGTGACCCTAATAGTGCATCCAAACGGCGAAAAATTAAGAGAGATCAGTCTGCTTTAGAAGCTGGGGAATATGCACCTTCTGCTCCACAGCCTCCGAGCCTTGGTGCTGGTAACTCACAATTTGAAATACGAGAGAGAGAAAGAAAGGGTGCTATTTCACAGCATCGGCCGTCACATGCTGATGACCTCCCTAGGATGCATGCCAAAGATTCAACAAGCAAGACAAGTCGTAGAGAGACTGACCAGTAAGTTTGGAAATGAGGATCTCATTGAACTAAGCATGCACGCTTTCCTACAATTTATAACATTTTTCACTTTGCTGTGTTCTTTATACCTTAGCTGTCATGTGAAACACACTATCTGTTTTATGGGAACGATCAATATCTCATGCAAATTGTAGCCCATTCTTTTCCTTGACCTCTTTTAGCATGCGCCTGACCCGCCTCTTCCTAAATTGAAGAAATATTTAGTCAAATAAAATAATGATTGTATTCCCAGGTTACTAGTCGTTATGCAGGTAGAGAATGTTGAAAATCCACCATTTCACCTTCCTAAATTGTAGATAAGATGGTGTCATGCACTTAAGGTATGGTGTGGATGGCAACTAACCACTTAAGCTAGCGATATTGCAAAAGCTGCCTCGAAGGTGGTTCAACAATTGAAAAGCATAAATACTCGTGTGCAATAATGAATTATAGAGAAACATGCAACTAAAAACTGTCATTTTATTAGACCGTACAAATAGCTACATGACACAAACAGTTCAGCGGAGTAATGTGTTGAGAATTATGATATTTATCACCTATTTAGTTGTCATGGGTGACACTGTTAAATCCTAGCTACCAAAACCAAGATCAATGTGTATGCAAAATTGGTATTACTCTCCTTTTTTTCCCTTGTGTGCAAGAGTGTCCTAAAGGAAGTGAGCACTGAAAGCTTACACATGTAAAATGCAACATACTCTTGCATCACTTTGTTGTCTTGAAGCACATTTTAACGGCCTGATTCTGCATGAATTCTGATTTATGTATTTAGAATTGTGTTAATCCTTGTTTTGGCTTTAATACGAGCTTGAGATTTTAATGAATTTCTGAGTTACATATAGGAAAGAGAGTAATCACATCGTTATGAGTAGGCTTAATGTCTTACCTAGTTACCTTAAATATGTAGCAGAGGTATATATAAATAAATCTGTAGAAAGATGATTACTAGGATGGTTTTTTTCTTTCCAGTTCTATAATGAAGCATCTGCTTGAGCCGCGTTTTTTGGTATAAACCTTTTTTAAACATAAGTTTTGTTTCTCTAACAAACCTTTAAACTGCAGAACGCATGATAGAGAACGGGAAGAGGAAAAGAGGCCAAGAACTGAAGCAAGAAGAAAGCATCGGAAATAGGTTCTTGCAGGACTTTTGATCACTGCCACATGACATGGTTTCACCTCGAGGATGTGCATGATCACCTGCGAACAAGAGTGCTTTGTTGTAGCAGGAAGATCTATCTGGACATATTTGAAACATTCAGTGTGTATGTCTCAATCCTTCAGCTGCGTACTTAAGCCGTACTTCATCGATGCTACACAGTGTCGCTGTCCAGATGCACTGTTATGAAGAATGTCATTGTGCAAGGAACAGGCATCTGGGCCATATGGTCGGTCGACTATACAAGCTGTTATAAACATTGTAACGTAGAATGATGAGCAACAGAACTGTGGGCCATATTAACCTAGACGAATTTGCTGTACGTATGAGGAGATGTGTTCATCCTACAGCGGCAGAAAAGGACGAGGAGAATGTTTTGTAGCAAAGTACTTTATGGCATGTTTTGGAATGGTTTGATTATCAATTTCATGTGCGGCAACATATGTGGAACTGTTCAGCAGTATTGGTTACCTGTGTGACTTCGTCTACTTGAGCAATTCAAATACGTGCCAGTTTGCGTCACAAGATTTTGGTAATTCGACGCGCAAAAAAGAAAGATTTTGGTAACCCGACAAGTGTGCTGCCAAATTTTGGAAGGCGTCTTGCTAACCCCGACCGTTTAGTTTGTTTGTTGCGGGATCAATGGTGGGGCGCAGTGCCTGTCCATGAACGAGAAAGAACTAGTGCAACAGCGTGCCTGCTTGAACAATGGTGACGCGGTAAACCAAAAAACAAACCGACAGAAATACTGTTTTCCTTTATGATTGAACCGGATATAAAATTCCGTTCTGGTGCCCTCTTAAAAGGCAAAAACCAAGCTCCGTCTCGAAACAAAAGTTCTCAACGCAGAGCATCAGGTATGCTGTGAATACTGCCCGCTGAGCTGATCAAGAACCAGAAGTCATCTCCTCTCGCAAAATGCCTTCCCTCGTAAAACAAAATCCGAAGCATCAAAAGTTCTGGTAAGCCGGGCCCCTGTCCGGTCTGCATCTCCGTCGTCGCTTGAGCCGCGGCGCTCCTATTTCTTCCGGTTCTTCCTCTGCTGCTTGGCTGCAGAGCGAACAGAGTTGCAGAAGACACAGAAGTCACGCCGAGACATCCAACAAGCATCACGGGCTGGGGAGAAATTAGCGAGAGAGAGAGAGAGAGAGAGAGAGAGAGAGAGAGAGAACAAGGCGGCTTACCCAGCCTCCTCTTGGCGTCGGCCTTGGCGAAGAACTCGGCCCACTCCTCCGTCAGAACGAACACCGGCTCCTCCTCCTCCTCCCCCCACTCTTCTTCCTGCCCGAGGTAAACTTCCTCTCCTCGCTCCGCCTGCGGCGCCGGCTCATCCGCGTCCCCCGCCGCCTCTCCCTGCGGCCCGGGGAGTGGTCCTTCCGCCGCGGTCGGCGGGTGGGGAAGCGTGTGGGGAGGAGGAAGAGGAACCGATGTGTGGTGGTGGTGGTGGGCACAGGGAGCGGCGGCGGGCAGGAGGTGGGCGGCGTGGTGGCGGAGGTGGATGTGGATGCGGTGGTGGTGGCCGGGGTCGAGGCGGAGGTGGAGCCGGTGGTGGTGGTGGTGGTGGTGTGGAGGGTGCGGCGGATCCATGGCGTCTGCTCCGTCTGTTCCTCGAGCCTGCGCTCTGTTTGCGACGGCAGTGCTACCGCCGAGTATATGTAGGGTTTACGCTACAGCTTCGTCACGCCCCTGCGCTTCGGGGCCTCACTCTAAAATTAGAGAAAATCCAGATGAATTCAAATTTTTCGCCAGTGACAAAAATGGCCTCGGATGTTTGATTCTGGCTTTTTTCAGTTCTTTTTTCCTTCAACTTCAGAATGTCGATCTGGATTTTTGATAACGTCTATGGGTAAGCTTATTTATTATATTTTCTCTGTAAACAAATAGAGGACTTAACTAAAATAATGATCTAAAACGTCATATATTTATTTATTTATAGGGAGAGTATATTGATGCACAATCACTCAAATGTATTGTGACTGCCCTGCTCCCTAAAATTTAACTTCGCTCTAAAATCACAAGGTGCTAGAACCCGAGGTACAACTGTATTTTTTTATGAAGCTATTTTGGAGAGGCTTTAAAAACTTTAGTTTGAAGTGTCCTCATGAAGCTGAGGGAAAGTTACCCATCACTACCATCAGTAGGTGGGTTTTATTTTTCCGTCACCCTGCCGAATAGACCTTTTCCATCAAAATTTTACATTTTTAAACCTGAAACTAGCTGAAAGCCAAACAAAATAAATTGTTCTAATGAAGCTGCAACTCCGGTATGGAACCACTCATGAATAACTTTATTAATCATGAAGCTCCAAAATAAATTTGGTAGAGCCTGCCAAATAATCCTCCATTTGCTTCTTACTTGATGGTCTCAGATAATCTGTGGATCTTATCTGCCTGTAGTTGCAATTAGATTATTCTTTGAACTTACTATCCGAAAACTAGTCTTTTTCTTTTGTAACTTTCTGCAGCATAACAATCTTTGAGCTAAGGAAAGCACAGAGACATTCTGAGCACAGAAATTCACCACTGGTAAACCAGCAGCAAATTCCTAGCAAAGATCTTCATGTTTGAATGTAATACTTGGAGAATTTATGATAATCAGACTAACATACACGACTTAACTCAGAGACTCACCACAAGTACACAGTGCAATATACGGCAAAATGCATGAACTTCCATTGAGACTCATCCAAGCCTCGAAGCAGCATGACTTAAACTCTTGCACCATCAAGAAACGAACCAAAAACAAAAATACTAGAACCACATCTCTGCCCCTATTGAGTTCAACTATCGCAGATAACAGACAGACGTGACATAGGTTCCACATAATCAAGACACTGTCCTAAAAGCGCATTATTTTAAATTTGATAGTCTGCGCTCTCCTTAGAAAGCTTCACGGTCACCACCATAGCCACCGCCACCTCGGCCACCACCGCCGTAGCCGCCGCCGCCGCCAAAGCCACCACCTCCTCCATAGCCACCGCCGCCGCGTGAGAAGCCGCCACCACCCGAAGGTCTCTCATTGGCGAAGTTCACACGGACGTTCCTCCCTGCAAGCTCCTGCAAGCATTGGATGGGCATTAGATCCTTATAACTAGTGGCCAATGAAGCATAGCATCAGGATCAGGCCTAAGCAAATGACTAAAGGGAGGAACAAAACATTGAAACAATAATTAACAGGTGTTTTCCACCTGACGGAACGGCAGGCACATGGTACATGGTGAAAATTATCAAACCCTAATCAGCATCTAAATGGTAGAAGTAAACTCTATTGTCAAGTAGAACAGCACATGTCTGATACTCTAGTTTTGACTCACCTGACCGTCCATGCCTTTTGCAGCGCTATCTGCATCAGCTTCATTCGCAAAGCTCACAAAACCAAACCCTCTAGACCTTCCAGTCTCTCGATCAGTGATGACACGTGCTGTAACATGAAAGATGGGGATTATGAAGCAGTAAATACAAGATAAGTGAAAAGCATCAGAACAACCAGCACAGTCAAGCAAATTCCCATGTATTGCTTAACATTCATATCTTGAAACAATTAAGTGCAACATTAACATGAACCATGCCAGAACAAACAGCTACTCCCTCTGTACCAAAATAGTTGTTGCTGGAGTAGCTGAAGTTCAGCTACTCCAGCGACAACTATTTCGGTACAGAGGGAGTAGTTCCATGTATTATTGTACAGATACCAGAAAAAATGACTTATACAGATTTGATCAAGGCTTCAAGATGTACTGACCCTCAACGACCTCTCCAAAGCTTTGGAACGCCTCCTTCAGCGAATGATCGTCAGTAGCCCAGGCCAGACCTGATGAATAAAACTAAGGTCGTTAGTGGATAGGCTTCTAGAGTCATGTTCTACACAAAAAAGTTGTTAGTGGATAGGCCAGACCTGAGCCAAGTTCTACAATACAAGGTCATGGACATACAGTACAAGCAAAGCGACGAAAGAAAACTCACCGCCGACGAAAAGCTTATTGCCACCAGCTGGCTGGCCGGCGCACATGAAGCGGGCAGCGTTGAACAGGGCAGGAGCCGAGCCGGTCGAGGCACTGCTCGCCAAAGCACTCTGCCTAAGAAGGCTTCCGAGCTTGATGAGGGCCGCCATGGAGGAAGACTAAAACCTGCACCGACAAAATAAATCATCAGCAAAAACGAACCGAAGGGGCAAACAGGGTTAGACACATCAACCAGAGGAAAGGCACAAATTTGCAAACAAAGAAAGATTTTTTACTGGTGCAAACTCCCTACAAACACGATATACTCCTGCTATAACAGATTAATCCAACAGATCAGACCATCCCGCCTAATTCAGGCCGAGATCCCGAGAACGCCACGGTTCCCCTCCGAAACTCGCAACCCGTACTCCCATGACGACGGCCCCGAAATAATCTAACGAAACCGAACGAAATCCAACTCGATAGCCCCTCTCTAACACCTAAACCCACACGAATTATAGATCATCAGACAATAGGCAAGCGAAACCCTACCCGTTCCTCCGCCAATCGATCCACTTTTTAGACTAATAACAACAACCAGCAAGCAATCTAGCGGAAGAAGGGGGCGACGGATC